GTCGCTGGAGAAGGATGTCATGCTGGGTAAGGTGGAGGGTCAGAGAAAAAGAGGAAGACCCCCAACGAGATGGATCAGCCAGGTGACATCACTGATGGCGTCAAGTGTGGCGGTGGTAGTGAGGTTCGCCCAGGATCGGACATTGCTTCGTTCTGCTATGGGGTCGTTATGAGTCGGTTCCGACTCGATGGCACCTGACAACAACAACAACAAGTGCCCATCAATGGAATCGATAAACAAACTCTGGTATATACACACAATGAAATACTATGCTACCTTGAAGAATAATGATAAACCTGCAAAACCCTGTATAACATGAATGAACCTAAAGGAAACAACGCTGAGTGAAATTGGGCACAAAGGCATAGATATTGCATAAGACCATTACTGTAAAAGAAAAAAGATTTCCATGCTAAAAGAATAATTATTTGAAGGTTAGAGGGGCGGGTGGGAGGGGAAAGTAACTCACAGATTAGGGGATAGACGTATGATAATGTGGGGGACAAGGAGGGCAATAAATAGGAGGGGGCGGGCAATGCACAAGAAGGTGGAGGAAGGCAGAGAAACAGGGATGAGAGAGAAAGGCTTTAGGAGGTATGTTGTTGTTAAGTACCGTGGAGTCAGTTTTGACTCATAGCGACCCTGCACAGGGTTTCCGAGGCTGCAAATCTTTACGGGACCAGAAAGCCTCATCTTTCACCCGCGGAACTGCTGGTAGTTTCGAACTGCCGACTTTGAGGTTAGCAGCCCGATTTGTAGCCACTATGCCAGAGCTCTGCATGGGCTAAATCAGATAGAGGTAGATTGTGACGTATGTACAGCCTTGGACTATCAAGGCTCTATGATATAGCGATTGAACATAAGCTGAATGGGTAACAGAGAGGAAATAATATTAAGGTGCTTGACGGTTTTGCAGATATTGGGTTCCCCTGCCTACTAGTATAATATACAGAAAGCTTGTAGGCCGGCTTTAATGAATTGGATTATATAAAAGGCCACTTAAGAGGGCAGTTTACCTATAGCTTGCCGGCAGGCACCATGGCAAGCCTATGAGCAGGTCCAGAAGGGTCCCCTGAAACTGAAAGGTGTCGCAGAGGTCGGCACGACCAAGCGGAAGAAGGACAAAGACAAGGCAAAACTTCTGGAAGCGATGGGAACAAGCAAAAAGAACGAGGAAGAGAAGCGGTGCGGCCTGGACAAGAAGACCCCGGCCCAGGTGGCCTTCCAGAAGACGCAGAAGACGCGGCAAATGGAAAGGATCCTGAGCAAAGCGTCCAAAACCCACAAGCAGAGAGCGGAGGGCTTCAACAGACACCCGGACACACACACAGAGCATTCCGACATTCCCAAAGTCAGCTGGACCAAATAGCCTCCCACCTTATGGACGTGGCATGGCCTCAAAGGGAAGCGAAACACAAAGTTAGGTTTATGTCAAGTGCCTTTGGCATTTTCCAGAAACATTCTTTACGTATGCCTTTGCATTTTCTGTTCTGACAGTGCTTTTTGAAACTCTCTCCATTCTGGAACTTGATTAAAGTAAGCTAGCTGTCCTCTCACCCAATTTTGGTTTCTCAGTGGCCCATAGAAGATAAATATTTTCAGCATGGACTGGAAAACTTTGGAAGTTTATCCAGCATGTAAGTGCCACATACAAATGTCTAGTTCTCTGAGTTGCATTTAAGCCTCAGAGGACAACCAGCCAGCTCTCTTCACGCAGATAAAACTGATTCCGAGGGTGAGGAGCCAACACAGGTGTGGCCTGTGCCTTCAGATGTGAGCATTACGCTTCTGAGCTCCCATTAGTTGGAGCTTAAGTTGTCCCATCCAGGACCTGGAGAAGTTACCCACAAGTTCTTTGGTTAGTTTACTGAGGACTGCCGTGTGTGGCAAGGATGGGCATCCCTCCTCATCCTTTTCTGAGCCCATAACTGGCCTGCAGCCCCTTCCCAAGTTTCCCCATTCCAGACATTTCTAATGGGTGTTACCATGGCCCCAGTAGTTGTTGTTGTTGTAAAGTGCCATCAAGTCAAGTCTGATCCATAGCGACCCTGTAATAAGGTTTCCAAGGAGCAGCTGGTGAGGTTGAACCACTGATCTTGCAGTTCAAAAGACTTTACAGTCTGTCACATTAGCCTACAGCGCCACACCAGGAACTGATCACATCCTTCTTTGTAATGAAAACCAGACTTGTCTCTCAACCATGAAACCAAATAGCCTCTGTAGTTACTCAGAGTTGGCACATAACCTGGAACCTGTTTGGCTGAACCCCAGCAGATAGGAATGTGCATAGTCAAATATAGCACCCCATTACTGGTGTAGGAGAGCCAAGGTCTCAGAGCCAATGCACTAGGGGAAAGTCTCTGCTGATACAAATTCCAAAAGTATACCAAAACCAGAAGACAAAAAACAAATGTTGTGCTTGAAACTGTTACATGTGAACTGTGGAATATAGAAAGCAACTACCAATTATTTTTTTTAAAAGGGGGGGGGCGGTCTAGAATGTACCCAGGAAAACAGACTTCTTCTTAAGCCTTTGTGGAGTATGAGACCATAGGTGGAATCCTGAACCCCACCCAGAACCTTCAAGGATGGGACATTCCCAAATGAAAAGACATACAGACCAACCAGGAATGGCTAGAGAAAAAGAAGATACTTCTTGAAAGAAAGACCACTGGGGGAGAAGAAAGAAAGAAGAAAAAAAAAAAAAAAAAAAAAGCAGACTGAGACTCTTTGGCTGTAACAATATCAAGTAAGCTGCTTGCCCTGAAGCCATCAGGCAAGAAAAGTTAAGCCCATCAGGATAAACCCCTTTCTAAGACTGAAATTCAAAAGGAACATACAGATAACAGATAGTCTTGTATGCTTGGTGCCAACCATCCTGGTCAACTTGAGTAGAAGTGGGAGAAATGCAGTAAAGAAGACATGGGATGAGATTGGCCATATGCCATAGACACCCAATGACCTTGAGATGACAGAGAGAAGTGGATGGGCTTGAAGTTCAGGGAGATGTGTGTCTAGCCTAAAGACACTGACTTAGCCACTGGGGCCTAGAGTTAAGAATGAAGAAATCAGTTGATCTGAAGAGGAGCAAGGCATGCTAGAACTCCCAGACTTGAAGACAGTGTCCATTTGACCCAGCATGGATGACTTGCTGACCAGAATTCAGCCAAATGAAGATTAAAAAAAAGTATGCATAAATTGCTACAACCTTATCAATTAGACCCTTGCTTATGGATGAAGCTGTCCAAATTCCAAACCAAATAGGGAAGATTCTTCATATCATAGATCAAACATGTACATGGATTGATAGGGGCAGGAAACTTAGAATTCAGTTACAAATTTGGGGGACTATACAGGCATGAAGTAGTTGACTTGCACGCTTTCATGAGGGTGATTCATGTCAGAACAAGAAGAGTAAAACAGAAAACCAACTGCATAGGTTCTCCTTTTGTCCAGATGGGTCTGGTGATGAGGGAGATAGGAATTTATGATTCAATTGTGAGTAATTGTTTTCAGGTCTAAAGGCAATTGTCACAATTATAAATGTAGAAGAGTTGCAACTATAAAATGGGAGCAGTTAATCTGTCATTTCAGGAACAGGGGACCCTAGGACCATAAAGAGGGAAGAGCATGAGGAGTGAGGGGTCCTAACCAGGAAAGCAGCGACAACAGAGATGGTGGCCAAGGTGATGGCATAGAGAGACATCGTGGACTATAAGTCCATGGACTGAGAAAAGCAGTGTGCCTGCGGGCAGGAGACTGGCTTGCAAAATGTACGTTTGCACAGTTAAATGAATATATATTTACAATATGGTATGTGTACATTGAAAAAAAAAAAAAAGGTAATAAAGGTAAATGCTGTTGGCTAAGGGTGCATGGTTACAAGTCGGGCTGCTGACCTCAAGGTTAGCAGTTAAAAGCTACCAGCCATTCCACGGGAGACAGATGAGGTTTTCTGCTCCAGTAAGATTTATAGCCTTGGAAACTCTATACAGGGTTATTATGAGTCGGAACCGACTCCTCGGCACAACACTACCACCAAGGGTGCATGGAGGGGATTGTAATCATTACACTGATTTGCTGAATGTAAAACTGATGATTTGCCCTGTAAGCCTTCACTCATTCAACACACAATAAAAGCTTAAAAATAAATAAATAAAATAAGGCAATTGAAAGGCATATATAAAACTCTGAAGGAAAAAAACTGCCAACCAAGAATCATATACCCAGCAACCTCTCCATCAAATATGATGGCAAAATTATTATATTTCTGGATAACCAGAAATTAAAGGACTTCATAAAAGCCAGGCCAACTCTCCAAAATATACTTTGGACTGAGAACAAAGAGCAGACAACAACCAGAGATTGACGTACCTGGTAACACCATCCAGAATTCAGTACAGATATGGAAATATCCAGAGTAGAGCAAAACTACAAGACTGAAAAAAGGGAATCTAGGAGGTCAGTCTATGATCAGGAGAACTACACAAAGCAAAAGAAGGGAAAAGTATAGTTACAGAGTTCCAGGTAGTGAGGAGTTCACATAGATTTCAAGATAAAACCGACTTTTTAAAAAAGAGGAAGAAATTAATAAAGCACAGGGTAACTTCAAAGACACTTAATACACCTTCACATCAAATTAAGAAAAGGAAAATCCATGAAGATTTTGGATATATTAAAATTATGAAGAAATTAAAAAGAAAAAGCACACAAAAAAGTAAACTCAGCACAGGAAAGCATGCAAAACAGAAACTAGCAGCACAACACAAAAAACAAATAGAAAACTGACTGCAGTCAATGCATAACTATCAATAATTACACTGAACATCAATGATTAAATGCACCAGTCAAGAGACAGAAACTACTAGAATGGATAAGAAAACAGGATCTTTCAATACACGCTGTCTACAAGAGACACATCTTACACTCTAAGACAAAAATAGATTAAAAATTAAAGGATGGAAAAAATATATCAAGCTAACTGAAATAAAAACCAGGTGGTGGTGGTGGTTATGTGCTGTGGAGTCGGTTCCAACACAAAGTGACCCCATACAGGGTTTCTGAGGCTATAAATCTTTACAGGAGCAGAAAGCCTCATCCTCCCGTGGAACAGCTGATAGTTTCGAACTGCTGACCTAGAGGTTTGCAGCCCGATTCATAACCACTACGGTACCAGAGCTCCTTAAAAACCAGGTAGGAGTGGCAGATATTAATCTCTAATAAAGTAAACTTTAAGGCAAAAACAAGCACAAGAGACAAAGAAAGATGTTATCTCATTGAATAAGAGGACATAACCATAATAAGAGCCTCACAATCATAAATCAACCGCTAATAGAATTAAAGAAAAAAAATAGACAACTCTACAATAATAGTAGGAGATTTTACAGCACTTTTGAAAAAAGACAGAACAACCAGGAAGAAACAAGAAAGACACAGAGAAACTAAACAACACAATCAATCAACTTTACCTCAGAGATTTGTACAGAGTATTCAACCCAACAACAGCACAATACACATTCCTTTCCAGGGCACATAGAACATTCTCCAGAATAGACCATGTGTTAGGATACAAGCACCCTCTCAGATCACAATGCTGTAAAATTAGAAATCAACAATACAAAGATCAAGGAAATAAAATTTTAAAACATGGAAAATGAATAAAATCCTGCTTAAAAGCTACTGGGTAATAGAACAAATTTTTAAAATCCTAGAAACAAATGAGAATGAAAACACAAAATGCCAAAACCTTTGGACACAGCAAAAGCAATGCTGAGAGGGCAATTCATAGCATTGAATATACACATCCAAAAAGAAGAAAAAACCAAAATCAGCACATTAACACAACATCTTCAACAATTAGAGAAAGACCACCAAAGTAAGCTTACAGTCACCAGAAAAAATGAAATAAGAAAGATCAAAAATAAATGAAATAGAAAACAATAAGAAAGAATCAATACGAAGCTGGTTCTTTGAAAGAATAAAATCAACAAACCATTGGCAAATCTAACAATAGAAAAGAGGGAGAAGAACCAAATACCATGTGTAAGACACCATATGGGTGACATCACAACAGAATCAATGGAAATAAAAAAAGAATAATAACAGAATACTGTGAAGAGTTGTACTCCAGAGGCATCCAGCAAGGTGGCTGACTGAGAAGACACACTGCAAGGACCCTCTACAACAAAGACATGAAAGCCATCCCGCCAGCAGCTCCAAGAGAAAAAGATGAGGGCTTTCTGTTCCCACAAACACTTAAAAGCCACATCCCTGGGTAAGCTGTGGGTCCAAGTGAACTACAATGATCCCGGATGAGCTACAACCCTGGTGAGCTAAAGGCCTGGGGTGAGCTATGACCCCCAGTGAGCT